GAATACTGTAAAATCGACAGCGCATAACGAAATATGAAAAAAACAAGAAGCCAATAAAAAACTGTTTTGTTTCGATCCAATACATTTTCTAGTTCAAGAAACTGTCAGCCATCTTAAAGTTCAGTAGCACTGTTTTATTTTCGTAACGAGACTATTCTAAATTAGAAACACGTGGTATGTATACCGTTGCCAAAAACGAAAAAAATAAAAATAAAAATAATAACCCATTGATTTTTACTTCGAGACTTGAAGACGGAGAAATGTGTTTATCTTACCCGGAAAGGAAAGATTTTTGGTGAATGCTTAAGTGGCATACATACTGTGGTAATTAATAGATATCGCATTGTATCGCTACATTGCATGAAGTAATTCAAATTTCGTATGATGACAATATAATAGAAAAGTTTAGTAAAAAAACCCAACTTTAATAAAATAAAAAGATGTGTGGTGTCGTGGGACACCGGATAGGCACGGAGTTCCATATAAAAAAAAAAACAGAGAAAAAAATTGCGCGGTGAAATATCGCTGTGCGGAAAACAAGGCCTTATTCCACAGACTTTTTCTTACGGTTTACACTATCACATTTTTTTCAGTTCGGTCGCGCAGCAAAAATGGCGCCGTGAAATATCGCTGTGCGGAAAACAAGGCCTTATTCCACCGACTTTTTCTTACGGTTTTTACTATCACATTTTTCTCAGTTCGGTCGCGCAGCAAAAATGGCGCCGTGAAATATCGCTGTGCGGAAAACAAGGCCTTATTCCACCGACTTTTTCTTACGGTTTTTACTATCACATTTTTTTCAGTTCGGTCGCGCAGCAAAAATGGCGCCGTGAAATATCGCTGTGCGGAAAACAAGGCCTTATTCCACCGACTTTTTCTTACGGTTTTTACTATCACATTTTTCTCAGTTCGGTCGCGCAGCCAAATCCCTATTTCCTCCAAGCCTGCCGTAAGGAACTTCGTTCCAAAAAGAGTATCAATCATCATGGAAAACTATTGAATATGCGTCATTAAGGTCGGATATTAAAAAAATGGCACTAAATAAGAAACACTAGTTATATATACAAACAAAAAAATCGATATAGTCCACCGAGAAAAAAGTTCTGAGATGACACCCAAAAAAAACAGCAAATTGATTACCTCCGTCTTTTTTTATTTCGGTTAAAAACTAAGCATGCGTCCATCACAAATTGAGCTACGTTTTCCGTAACAGATATTTGTACTTATACATAGATACACAGGCTGCGTGAAAGACGATATAATATTATGTGAGAATGATAGAGGAGTATGGAAGGAGAAAAAATGTAGCGCCCACCACAGGTGACTGGGAGAAGAAGGACAGGAGAATGATGATAATGTTGATACACAGACTGATAGTTTCAACTGTATAATTCATTTCTAGTATCAAATCTCTGTACGTTACGAACATGGATATAATATAGTTAGAGAGGCTATTGGAAATTAAGCAGAATATTAAAAATAAAATCGATAAACATGTCACATCTCTATTTATAAAATTCATGTTTCCCGGTAATATTACGTATGTAATTTCTATACTAATTAAATGACACTCCGTTAAGTTTAATTGTGTTTAAATTACGAAAAAATAATTTAAATTTGGAAACGAGTGTAAATTAAACCCGTTTTGCTATCAATATAAAACTGAGCACTCGTGAGCTCACGTGATCATTCGTGAGTCCTCATGAGTATTCATGAACCTACTTTTTTTATTATATTTATAAACTCACGAATTATTTTGCGTTCATTTGTAAATTTAAAACTTTAAAATATTCTTTCAAATCAAATGCTCACAAACACGGTCATGAAATATGACTAACCCGGTAGTAGCCCTGTATTCAACGCCCTCACCGCTGAGCTTAGGGTTAGAAGCAAACATTCGTTTGACGTGTTTAACAAAACTATTTAACATTGTAATTGTGAGAGTGTGTATGTTTGTGTGTGAAATTTGACCTTCTTTCACGTCGAAAAGAAGCAACAGATTGACATTTTTTTTAAAGTCAGTCATGAAAGTGACATAGAGTACCATTTATCCCGAAAAAAAATTTTTTTCCCTCAAGAAACTACACTGAAACTATCTATATACCATATACCACACGGGCAAAACCGCTGCTAATAGCTAGTATCTATAAATTTAAACGCTTATAAGTAGGTATGTACGTCTTCTATTGCCATAATACAGGAAACACTATAGATACCATTTACGGTAGGCAGCGGCTTGGCTCTGCCCCTGGCATTGCTGAAGTCCATGGGCGACGGTAATCACTCACCATCAGGTAGGCCGTATGCTCGTCAGCCTACAAGGGCAATAAAAAAAAACCAACTACGTAAGTTCTGCCTCTCATGATGAAATAGTTCTAAGTCTGAGTTACAACGTCCGCCCTTCAAGCCGAAACGCATTGCTACTTCACTGAAATAGCCTGGGTGGTAATACCTACCCGTGTGGATTCACGAGACGCTATACCACCTGATGATCATTATATTGACGCGCGTTTAGTTTTCAAGGATTGGCATATTTCATTATCACCACTGGTCCCGCAGTATTCGAAATTCGACAATAATTAATTGAAATTATAAGTTTCAATATTATTATGGTCCTATTGTTACAGATTTCGCCAAGACTACATACACTATAGACAAATACTCGCAATATTAAAGATAAACAATACTAGCCTATTCTCAATTTGACTACAGACTTTAAGCAATAACAAAAGTTTGACAATAAACAAAGAGTATATGTGTGTGTGTGTCAAATACATGGTAGTGTGTGTAATGTTTTCTTTATTGATTTAATGTATCTTTTATGCATTATTAAAAAAAAAAATTAGCATTGTGCACTCTTTCTCTATATTCTCTATAAGTGTGGAAAATTTCATACTCCTCCGTCCACGGAATTTTTCTAAAAAGGGATACGTAGTTTTTGCTTCACGTATTAATATATAGATACAGTAGTCACTACAACGTCAACCAAACTTCAGAAATAATGTAATGTAATGTAAAAAAAACTCTAAACTAGACCATTATAATAGTTTTAATTATGTCTATTAAACAAATCTAAGTGACATACTTAAAAATCTTTATTTTTTCCCTACCTATGCTGATAGCCTTGAGAGGCTATTTCAGCTTCGCCCTAACGTGTGTAGCTGAGCTCGCGGGTCTCAAAACGGAGGTGTTGCTAACACTGGCCCTAGCAAGAGCAGTGTTTCGCTGAAACTACCATCGGATCTGAAGGGCGACACACTGAGAAGATCTGGTGAGAAACTCAGTGGGCTGTGTCTATGAGTTAATTTACTCGCCAAGACCTTCGTCGCAAGCGACGGGTTCGGCAAAGACGGTGACCGGAAATCGTTATAACAACTCTTCAAATAATATAACTTATTATAAAGAAGCTAAATACAGAAAAACGCTATAACACACAACAATGTATAAACAAGTACAGCTCCGAATGCCAAACATTGGTGGCCAACGAATGAGGATCCAATGGTCTAGTTATCAACCATTTAGCCAACAGGCCAACAATTGCTACCAACATACCGTCTACCACGACGAAGCCATCTAAAGCATTTATTTTAGTACTCCTTCTCGGGACCCAAGATGGCATTGACCTCGTGTGGTCTATGGGCCGCACAAAACTTTGCCTTCTCAAAGCCAGCTACCGCATTGAAGCCGCACAAATACGCAAAGAGCAACAGTTATTTTTAAGGAATCTTAAAAGCGTCATTCACAAGAGTACTGGGTATAATTTAATTCTTTTTTTTTATGACCTTACCCGACCAAACAATACGATCGATCCGTGGTCAATGGAATCGGAATTTTTCATTCATAATACGCGGGAAGCTGTAGGAAGAATAAAATATGTAGACTTCCACGTTAAGACTTGTGCGATTCTGAAGTTATTTATTATTTGGATTTAATCTAATACGCTTGAAAATTGTAAGAAAAAGTCTAAGTTTGATATTCAGAATACTACATTTTTATCAAATCTTTTTATTTTTATTACGCTCTATAGTTTCGGAGAATTCAGTCTAACTAGTGAGTGACTCACATCTTTGAATATATAATTTGGGACAGGTCAAAACGTAAAAATAAATTTGGCTAGATTACAGAAATAACAATGTCATAAACTGGAATTTGAAACGAACTAGAGGTCCCGCAGTAGTCGAAATTCGACTATAATTAATTGGAATTGTAAGTTTGTACACTATTATGATGGCATTTTATACTTCTATAATCACAAATTTCGCCAAGACTACACTATAAAAAATATTAACAATGATGATGATAATTCTCAATTTGATAACAGACGTCAAGAACAAAAGTTTGACAATAAATAGTATACATGCGTGTGTGCATCAAATACATGGTATGTAGTGTGTGTAATGTTTTCTTTATTGATTTAATGTATCTTTTATCCATTATTAAAAAAAAATATTAGCATTGTGCACTTCTTCTCTATATTCTCTATAAGTGTGGAAAATTTCATACTCCTCCGTCCGCGCAATTTTCGTAAAAAGGGATACAAAGTTTTTACTTCACGTATTAATATATAGATTAGTAAGCCTTAAAGCCGGCGTCATGGTAAAAAGTAGGTACCTAACGTCTTAAGTTAAAAGTAACCTGTGTTTCAGAAGTCAAAAGGTTATTCACATTTCGAAATAGTTGTCGAACAGCAAGGCGCGAGTTTTGTTCAATACAAAACTTAATCCATACGCGACCGACATAGACTAACAGTCTACAGTATTCCTAAAATAAACAGCTTACCGCTCCTCAGATAAATAAGACAAAAAGTACTATTATAACATAAATATTGTAATAAAATAATATGCCACTAATTCAATGAACGCACGATTCAATCTCACTTTTTAACATAAGATGTATACACAGCACGCCACTGACACTTTTTTTTCGTGTGAAACGGAACGTGGTACCTAGTTTTTCTTTTAATTTTATTTATAGGTGAAACGTTTTTTTTTTTAACGTACCGGCTTGTCGTTTGACGCGACCGTTGCGTCGCGCTCGAAGTTACAACTGAACTGGAGGCGACTTTCAACTTTTATTTTTCCACGGCGCTCGCTTCCCGACAGCCGCGGCTCTTGTCTGTGTGAGTGCTAGTGACGCGTTGTTGTCGATAACGAGATAAGATATCGATATGTAAATCGATGAGAAATGCCACAGATTATCGATATTGTGAATTATATTTAAATTTGTTAGTATGAGATTCACTTTTATTTCTCAGGTTAGGCTAACTATATAGCTAAAATTAATATGGCATAGGTATCAAATATTTACACCTTGGCTTGAAGGCTCTCGAGTGAAAAATATTAAAAAACATAGGTACTAGGAAAACTAAAATCAACTATTTTTCTTTTTTTTTATTGCTAGATGAGTGGACGAGCTCACAGCCCACCTGGTGTTAAGTGGTTACTGGAGCCCATAGACATTTACAACGTAAATGCGCCACCCACCTTGAGATATAAGTTCTAAGGTCTCAAGTATAGTTACAACGGCTGCCCCACCCTTCAAACCGAAACGCATTACTGCTTCACGGCAGAAATAGGCAGGGTGGTGGTACCCACCCGCGCGGACTCACAAGAGGTCCTACCACCAGTGAAAAGTACAGTTTTAGTACAATAAACGAAAACATCTATGACATAAACATTTTTTTGAAGTCATTAGAATTGCATTGCCCAACATGGTAATCCCTATCATCAAGATTGTAATAATACAATGGTAAAAATACGAATGACCTATAAGTTTCTGTATTGAAATACATATGCTGATGTTTAATACGCACAAAATAAATAAGTAAACTATATAAAACTTTATTATACAACACAATTTGAGACTATACACAATTGACAATAATGATCGATAAAGTATAGAAGTAAATACGAATATGCCAGTTAAAAACGATGACAATTCTAATTCAGCATAGAACGCAAACATTAAAACAAACTTAATTTCCCAATATCGACTATACGACCAGAATCGATTATCGAACTCTGTGTTTCCATCACTATCGCTCAGTTACACACACGCAAACAAAAACGGAGCTTTGAGCTTTCCACCTGTACCTATAAAGCACCTTAAATTGATAATGTTAAGGGCTATATTCTCTTAAATCGAAACTAGAACACATCCGACTCCTTTATAGTATTAAGATCTTGTAAGCACAGAGATAAGTGTAGTCGAGAAATATGACACGGAAAGTAATTAATTGTTGACTGAAGATAAAATTACATGACAGAATCTTAGAATCAAAGGGTTAATAGGAGGATTCTTACCTACAGTTTTTACGTAATTAAATTGGCTATGAATGTACAGAAAATCGGTGGATGACAAAAGTACTTTTTTTTATTGCTTAGATGGGTGGACGAGCTCATAGCCCACCTGGTGTTAGGTAGTTACTGGACCCCATAAATATCTATAACGTAAAGGCGCCACCCACCATGAGATGTGAGTTCTAAGGTATTCTAGTATTCAGGTTCTGAGTATAGTTACTGGAGTGAAGACCTTGTACTGGACGTCGTAACGCGGACAGACAACCAATAAGGTAGACCGACGACCTGGTCAAAATAGCTGGTAGGGACTGGACGCGGAAGGCAAGAGACCAAAAAGAATGGAGTGCATGTAAGTGACCTACACTCAGCATTGGGTGGACAGGTGTTTAAGAAGAGAGTACAGACGTGCTTCCCGATCCATTAACGGTGCTTTTAGGTACCTCAAGCACCGGTCACTGTCCTCGCCGAACCCGTCACTCGCGACGAAGGGCTCGGCGAGCGAATTAACCCACAGATAGACACAGCCCACTGAGTTTCTTGCCGGATCTTCTCTGTGGGTCGCGTTTCCGGTCCGCTAGTAGATTCTGCGAAGTACTGCTCTTGCTAGGGCCAGTGATAGCAATACCTCCGGTTTGAACCCCGAGAGCTCACCTACACGCTATGGTTACGCTGATATAGCCTCTCAAGGCTATTAGCATTTTTTAGAAGGCAGACGGGACAAGGACCCCCAGATGATGCGTCATGGATGGTAAGGCGCTTTGGAGGTTGGGAGGTTGTCGGCAAAGGAAATATCTTCCACTGAGATGAGCGCGGATGATTTTCAAGTGGCACGGATAACTTCTGCTTCTGCAGAGGATGATGCTGATGGTAGAGTCTCATCGGGTTACGCTGCATAGCCCTCTAAGATTACCAGCTTAGATAGGGGACAAAATTGGTAGGGAGTACTATTTACGAGCGCGAATGTGTACCACTATGCTAATTACACCTGCAGGAATCACAAGCTCCAGTTTGAATAGTGGAAAAGCGGTTAGACAGCACAAATGAGACTTCGGTCTCAGCGTGGGTGACGCGTGGGTGACGCCTTCACGCTGTGATATCCAACCTATCTCAGAGCATCTGGATCGCATTACTGATATAGCAATAAGCTAAAGATATTATTGGATTCGTCGCAGCCTGAAGGATAATACGATAATACGTGATAGGACCGCCTGTGAGTCCGCACGGGTAGGTACTACCGCTCTGCCTATTTCTGCCGTGAAGCAGTAGTGCGTTTCGGTTTGAAGGATGGGGCAGCCGTTGTAACTATACTGAGACCTTAGAACTCAAACCTCAAGGTGGGCGGCGTATTTACGTTGTTACAAGGGCAATAAAAAAAAAGATGTCTATAGGTTCTAGTAACCACTTAACATCAGGTAGGTTGTGAGCTCGTCCACCCATCTAAGCTATAAAAAAATGCACCTATTTTATTATATGCCACACAACCGGTCACTCCTATGTACACCGTAGAACTGACCTTATGGAGCGCGCTAGAGTTCTGGTAGAGTGCCGCACGGACTCGCCCTATCAAGGTCATCTTATATATTAAATATATTAAATAATATTAAATACCCTTCACCTGGGGCAACAGCTAACCCGCCTTTCAAACCGAAACTGCTACACGGTGAAAAGAAGCAGGGGTTTTCTACCCGTGCGGTCTCATAAAATCTACAACCACTGAAGTTCATAGCAGGCCGCGTATAAAGTGCTTTTCGTAGCTTAAAGATACACCCTACAAACCGTAGAATATTCACCATTGATGTCTGCTGGACAAGCTTACAACACAGTTAAGAGCTTAATGTTATCCGTAAAGATGTATTAAAAAACAATTGAATTGAAAAATAATTGCTTTATTATTATATTAAGAAATCGCGTCACGTCGAAAACAAAGAAAACCACAAAACCGAGTCTCGGGATGTTTTGTACAAGAAAATGAAGCAAGACTGCATTTATATGCACCGCGAGTCATTGAAAATTCTCGTAAATAAACATTTATAACCTGTTACACTATAACATACCTAATAGTCTGTGTCATCGATGAGCTACGTTATTTAATTCGGCACAAAATTTAATATTAATTTATGTAGTTAACAAAAAAAGCACGCTTAAATAGCATACCGAACTCACCATTTCTTTTTTTACCCTATCGATACTAGTTAGGATGTTAGAACAAAGATATTAGGTTATTGTATCGTCATTAGATTTTTTTTGGTTTTTATTGCTTTGGTGGGTGGACAAGCTCACGGCCCGTCTGGTGTTACGTGGTTCCCGGAGCCCATAGACATCTACAACGTAAATGCCGCCACCCACCTCGAGACCTGAGTTGTAAGGGTCTCCCTTTTACCAGTACAACGGTTGCGCCACCTTTCAAACCCAAACGCATTATTGATTCACGGCTGAAATAGGCAGGGTGGTGGTACCTACCCGTGCGGACTCAGAAGACATCTTACCACCAGTAACAGGGCGTCTTAGAGCTGGTGAAAATGACGTTCAAAGATTCCACTACATACAAAAATACCGAACTAATAAAAGGGTGTTAAAAATGCTTTTTTTTTTGTTTTTCTGCCTTTTTATTAAACAATTGATTCTGGTGAAACTGAGCGTCTAGGCTGCTGGAAAGGTTAACATCAGACTACCAACGACACACTACAGGTGGCGCATAAGTAATTCCAAATGTATATGCCTTATAAATGTTCGTAGTCAATATCAAAGGCTATTTCTGCTGCCAAACCATCGTACCTTCTGTTTTGAAGAGTGGGGACAGTTGTTAGCCAATTATTTTCCCTACCTAATCGTTGGTTGGTTAGGGTCTGTTCTAACTACACGCGGCTTGGTAGGTGAGGTCACGGGGCTCAGCCTGAGAGACATTACTAACGTTTGTTCTAACAAGAGTAGTGCTTCGCTGAATCTACTACCGGATCGGAATCGCGACCAACTGAGAAGATCCGGTAAGAACCTCAGTGGGTTGCGTCTATAAATGTATAAATAGAAAGCCCACCAGTCATGTGGTCTCCCAAACATGAATTAGACAAGCTCATAATTTTGGGTCGCATAGAAGGCAAGCGCGCCGTGGGCAGAACACCAGCCAAATAGTCAGATCTGGTTAAGCAAAGCGGTTGGTCGTAGTCTATACCATGTGGTCCATGCCACCCATGACCGAACACTATGGAGGAGAGTCACATGTGGTCGCGAACCTCAGCAGCGAGGGAACTATGGAGAAGAGAAAAGCAGATGTGTATGTTTCGTATGTCCGAAATGGCCAGACCGATTTGGATGAAACTTTTAGGAAATCTTTAGTTCGACTTATCGGATTATCCTGTGTAGTTTAACGGCAGTTGGATCAAAGTCGAATCCAAGATTGGCCAGCAAACCGAAGAGCGTTTGACTTTATAAGAAACTAGCTGTACCCGTCCGCTTCGCTGGGCATTTAAAATTAACATTATTATTTCTCACCCCCACAAATATTCTCATCATTAACGTCCCCGCAACTGGTGTAGGGAGTCCAACATTCATATAAATATTAGCCTATATAAATATTATTATATGTATTTTCTACATGGATACCAAGTTTCAAGTCAATCGGATGCATAGTTCAGTAGTTATAACGGCACATCCGTAAAAACCACTGTAGATTTATATATTAGTATAGATATAGATACAAACAAAAAATGTCAAAATACATAATCTACTCAATTCGCACGCGTAATGTCGCTCAACCACGAGGTCCGACAATTAGCAATTGCATA